CTAGAGCTGAAAAGAGAAGTGGACGCATGCCCCATCCTTAACCCAGAAGCTGTCTCCGATTGATAACCACTTGTGAGTGAAAATTTGCTTTTCTCCAAGGGAGTCTCACTGGGAAACAAACTACTCTTAAGGGTAGAGAGTGAGAAACTTTGGAACATTCAGCCCTAAGTGGGATGTGTCCATTAAATTGCCACCTTCAGAGCTCAGGGAACCCTGAAGACAAGGAGACAGAGAAAACAAGGCTCTCTAAAGTAACATCATATCACATGTCAATATGCAGAGACTGAGGGAGCATTCACGGGGCCTGTGCAGGTAATTTTCATATATATTATGGCTTCTAGTTTAGTATTTTATGGGATTCCTGAGTATGTGAACAAGTGGGTCTCTAGTTTTTGTGCCTTCTCTTGGGCTCTTTTCCTTCTGTTTGTTGGTTTTGTCCAATTCCAATGTATTAGTTTTTGTTTTGGCTTATTATAGTTTATTTTATTATTAAAAATTCAGATATCAAATAAATCATTAGACTCTATCATGTGAGTTTGGCTGTTTATGGAATCCCACAATGGAGTTCACAAAGTACAGACACGCCCATTTATGTTCCTGCAAACTGAGAAATAGTGACGGCAGCTGTACTGTAATGTGACTCAAAATGCAAACCTTGGAAGTTTTATTGAATGCTGGAAAGTAAGAAATGAAATTCCTCAAGGCAACACAGTCCATCAAATGTCTTCCTTGTTCATACATGCTTCTATTTTTAGTAGACACAAAAGTCTTCAGAAATTACTCACAGCTAGAAGAATGACAGTAAATAGCCCAGAGTTGGACATTTTTTCAAATGTGTGATAACTGGTGTGAATCAACACAATTTCCTTAGGATTATCTGAGTTTTTTTTGCCATATATACAGAGGGCATCAAAAGGGAATATGACTACATTTGTGAGTGACATGATTATACATCTAAGACCAGAGCATCTTAATATTTTCCACCTGTGACCCCTTTTCACCCCACACAGTTTTACATGACCCTGGGTTTGTAGGTAGGTCAAATAGGTATACAAGTTAATGGTTTCCTGAAAATAGATCACAAGGAAAGTCATTTCAGGATGATTTTTGATATGTATAACATTTTACCATTTATTAAAGATGAAAGCAATTTTTCATACTAATAAGATGGCTGTGCTTGTTTATTTTTACATAAAGAATTCCATTTTGACCTAATATTTCATACTTCAAAACATAGCATCTTTTTAAAAATTAATCAATGTTTTGATTTTAGATTCACCAATGCCAAGAATGCTGTCTTGCATAAATATACAATTCAAAATGGTAGAATTATTTTAAGACCATTTGAAAAATTCTTAGACACTCTATCCTAATCCCAAGCCAAAATTTGTTTAATGATTTTTTAAAAAATGAAATTCCAGTCAGCAATTCAAATAGTGATTTTTAAAACCAAACACTCTAATGCAATACTATGCAAATATTTACTAATTTGATGCTTATGTGCTGAGGAATGACGCTAAGAAAATGTTAAGATTTTTCCAGTAATGAATGCATCTTGTTTCTATACGTACAATAAAACCCTGCAGTTCATCACATACAACAGCCTAAAGTCTGAGCTGAGGCACCTCAGGCAGTTTGTTCGCACTGCATGGCATGACAGCACACACAGTGAAAAGTGCACAGGTCCTTGTTTAGGAGCAAGGCTGTGGTAAAGTCACAGGAGACTGCTGCAAGACACACCTGAGCTCATTAAGACATCTGAGTTGAATTATCTTTTGGTCATTAAAATACCTTTCACTGTTGGCATTTTGTTACCCTCCACATTCAGTTTTGTGAGCCAATGTGATGGTACAAACCAGTTTGGAAAGCCGTGGACACTCTACCCTCTCCAATAGGATCGATATGGCATCATGGGTTGAAGCAATATAGCTGAAGGGATTGTGAAAGAGGCTCTTGTTGCTTGTCAAATGGCCAATGGTTCTCCCTCATTTTCCAGTCCCCTTGGAGTACACAGAAGACGGGGAAACATGCCTCTTCTGATCTAAAACACTGTACTTCTAACCCCACTCTCTTGCCGTCATGTGGTACCAAAGAGGTCATACTTACAATGCAGCTAAAACATAGTTACACCTCCATCAGTAGCCCAGGCTTCTGCATGACCAAGAGAATCACGTGCAGCCATTGAGCCACACTGGGTGTGTAGTAGGAAGAAAAATGAAAGTTGTGCTGTCACTGAGGTGTGAGTGTCGTTTCAATCATGGCACAGATAGCCTGGGGTTTCAGTGACCATAGCCAAATTTGTCTTGTTACTAATAGCTAACAGTACTAAGTGCTACTTGATTCCAGGCACTAAGGTATCAGGTTGACATTCATTGCCTAATATCTCTAAGGGATTTTCTGAGAGAGATAGTATTAACAGATAATATAGAATATGTATGATCTAAGGCACTGTCAGAGCTATATATGTGTGTGTGTGGTAGATTATATATATGCCCTAGATATTATATATGTATGTGTGTGTGTATGTATGTTTGTGTGTATAGTATAGTATATAGATAAAAATCTCTATAAATATATAGATGAATCACAAGTATCAATAGTATACTGTGAGAGGAAAGCTTTACTTCCCTGTTCAAATGCTGTTTCCGCCCTCCCTCTGTTCCTCTGTACTCACTGTTTCTAATGCTGTTGCTCCTGTTCATGCTTTTCCATTAGTGTCTCCTACTTCCTACTCCAAAATTGCTTCTTCTTCCATTGCCCCACCAAACTGCTCTTTCAATAGAGGCAATAATCACCATATTGCTGAATTCAGAAGATACTTAGGTTTCACCTTATTTAATATGTCCACATTATGTGAACAATTTGACTATGCTCTCTTTGTTGGTACATTATTTTGCAGGCTCTCTCTCTAGTCATTTTTTTTTACTGTTTGTGTGACATTATACTTTGACAGTCTTCGTGCTCCATCTTGGCTTCCTTTGCCTTTCCCTTTCATTCTTTCTCCTGTTACCTAGACTGTCATGATCATGTTTGTACAGGCATCCCATAAATGTGTGGCTCCACCTGGAACTTGTGCTCATCAACTGCTTGCCCAGCTCAGCACCTCCATTGTGATGCCCTGTGTGTTCAAGGGCTGAGCTCACTGTCTTCTCCATTCCCTCGTTGACCTAACTCTCACCTCCTCTGGTCCTTCCCAACTCTGTAAATGGTACCACCTTGTCCTGGTTACTGATGTTGGAACCCAGAATGGAAGTGCTCAGTCCAACTTTTACTTTATTATGCTCTGAAATTTAGTTTAAAAAGCAAATGAAATCACATTATAAGCAAAGTAAGTCTTTAAATATTCTGATTTTTCTCATCTTGATTATTATGAGCCTTTAAATAACATGAGGTCCTCCTCAAAATTAATTAAGCTACCTTTTTTGTTGGTGGTAGTGATGCAAGTTATTTAATAGTTCAGCATTTTCCAGGACTTAACAGTCAGACACCATTTCCTGTGTGCCCAAACACTGGACTCCAAGCCGCCTGACCACTTTTGTACCTAAATACCTGTAATAATCTTTCAATTATCTCTCACTGCTCAAATTTCCTGTCAGAAAAGCAGCCAGGACAGGCAGAATGACTTCAAGCTAATACTTAACTGATCCTCTCCTATCACTCCACTGCTTAAAAGTCCTCCATGATTTCCCATGGACTTTAGGATAAAAATAAAATAAAATTCAGATTCTGCAACATGCCCCAAACTCTGCCATCTCACCTAGAGTCAGCCTCATCAAGGTTCTGGAAACTCCCCATGAGTCTTTGCATACAATTGGATATGTCCAGAGTTCTCTAATCCCTTTCAGTTTCTTTTTCTTCAGTTCTTACACTTACCATGTTCTCATTTGACAAGCTTTTGTCTTTCTTAACCTCCTGCTCCACGTTGGAGCTCCTTGTTCAGCTTGCTATTAGCACCCCTCTTGAAATTTTAGTTTGTATACAAATGATTGGATTTGATTCCTTCTTCCCATTTTAACAAAAATTCCCTGAGTAAGTGTAGGTAATACTCTCTAAAGTCATCCAGGAAGCTTTAAATCCAGTTGTGCTTATTAAGACCAAACTACCACAGGTACATAAATTTTCTCATCTTGGAAGGTTTTTTTTTTCTTTTTTTTTTTCCTATGTATTTTATCATGGGCAAGTGTTATGTATGGGAAACCAGGGTTTAGCCAGAAAAATACAATATTTCAGAGGGAATTTTATATATCTTGGCCTTTTCCTTCTGTAGGAGACACAGGCAGATTGTTCAGACCTCAGGATTGACTACCTTAACTGGGCTTCTCCCTTCCCAGGCATAATCAGCATAAGTCTGCAAACAGGAGTGACATTACCCAACTTACGTGATTGTAATAGCATTCATTTATTCGATAAAGATCTAATGTGAGGTGGCGGTGGCGCCACCGCCTTTAATTCCAGCACTCGGGAGGTAGAGCCAGGTGGATCTTTGTGAGTTCAAGGCCAGCCTGGTCTACAGAGTGAGATCCAGGACAGGCACCAAAACTACACAGAGAAACCCTGTCTCAATAAAACAAAAACAAAAACAAAACAAAACAAAAAAGATCTAATGTGTGTATCCAGTATATTAAGTTTTGTTTCTGGGAATATAAATGACATTGAGGATGTAAAACGCGTAGTGTCTAGCTCTGTTACAGATTATCACTGTTACTTGTGTTGTCAAAGCTGTGCGTTGACGTTTGAGTGTGTCACAGAAGTTGGGGCTACGTGAGATGCACGATGTTGTCACTAGCCCCTCTAGGTCCTTGCATGGTCAGCATTTCCTCAGAAGTAGATGTGCTCACAACACCTCAGAGTGCGGCGTGGCCGCTCTTCCAATCACGACCACTAGAGGGCGCGAGGCCACCCACCGCTTCGACCACGGCATCTGCGCTTGCGCCGCACTGACACAACTTCCGCTTCCCTCCCACCAATTGCCTTTCGCTCCGCCCCGCGCCCCAATGCCCCGCCTTCGTTGCCCTTAGAGTCTGTTTGTTGACTTCCGGGAGCGCGGTAGTGGTCGATGCCAAGAGGGTCGCGATGGGGGCCCCGGGGGCTAGGGCAGTACCTTAGGCCCAGTCGAGTCGCTCCTGCTGTCTTTCCGAAGCAGGCACAGATTCCCTTTACAGTTTTCGGCATGGCGGAGGCCGAATCACTGGTGCCGGGTGAGTCGCGTCCCTATCGCGGCGGCTGGCCGGGAGGGAGGGTCCGCGGGCGGGCGGGAGGCCAGGCCCCGCCTCCAGGCCGGCCCTGTCGGGGTGCAGGCCGCAATCTGAGCCGCTTTAGTGAGACAGCATCCCTAACCTTGCCTGTGCGAATAAATAGCGTCGTTGGGACTGGGAGGAAGGGACAGGGAACGAGGAACCCTGTATGTCCTTTTAGTAATCTTTCCATGACTTTTCTCAGAGGCTGTGGCAGCCATTATTTTCTCGCTAAGCTTCCCAATGTTTGTACTTAACATTTGCATATGGGATGTCCCCAGGACCCACTTAGGTACTGAATTCAGTCAATAACGAGTGGGTGAATACGGAGAGAGAGAGGTTAAAAAGAATGAAAGAAACGAACTGGACAAAAGGAGAAAAAAGACCTTAAGCGATTAAAAAAAAAAAAAAAAAGACTGTCCTTAAGTGCTAGTTTGACGTATGTTAAAATTATGACCCAGTATGGCTTCCGTACTAGGTAGCACAGGTAGACATTTGCAGAAGCAGCACTTAATACAACCGTTTGGAACTTAGAGCTATTCAATAATCTGTTAAAATGATAGTCATAATCCAATCCACTGGATTGATTTTCACATACACTCTAATGAGTCACGACTAACACTTTGAAAAACAACCACTATATTAGAGCAGAATTATTCATTATTTAAATATGTATTGCACTTTCTGTCATGCTCTTGGCTCAAACAGAATTTGATTTTATGCCTCCTAGAGTTCATACCTTAGTGAGGGTACAAGAAAATAAAGAAAGTGACAGTAGTTGACATTAGAAGTCAGAGGATAGAACAGAGCCACCAGATCCTGGTTTTGGGTTGGGGGAGTGTCTGAAGAGGCTTTCTGGGGAGCCAGAATAAAACAGTTAAATGATTCCTTTGAGGGAAGTCTTGAATCATTTCTAGGCCCTGACCTCCCAAGGCTCAGTTATTAAATTGGAACTGGGTTGCCTCACAGTCGTTCTCAAGTGGCTTAGCCCCTCGCAAATCCACTATGACTATGCTTTCTCTGAAAATTTCCCAGAATCTGGGTCTGGCTTTCTATTTGGTGTGTGTGTGTGTGTGTGTGTGTGTGTGTGTGTGTGTGTGTGTGTGTGTGTGTGTATTTAAATAGTTACTGGGAACTGTTAATGGATTTTTAGTCTTGAAAATGGTGCTGGTCCAAAAAAGTTGAATACTCCTCAGATCAAGTAGTGACAATTTTAAGAATTCTCCAGTCTCTGTGGCCTGATCCATAAATTGAGGTCTCATTTCTCTTCAGTAGGAATAGGAAAAATTGAAGTGTTTCCAAGTGTTAAATTAAAGCCTGGGTGAAATGCTGTCTTTCACACTGAACTATTGAACTCTGTGTTTGACTTCCTCCCCACCATTATAGTGACATGAAAACAGTCAGAAATAGTGTAGAAGGGAACTTGTCTGTGTGAAAATTAGAACAAACTTTGATGTAACTGATGCTTGCTAGAGGAGCACTCTGTGCACTGGGTATAAGTAGCAAGGAGAACTATACTATTAGTAAGAAATATAGTTGAGAAAAGAAAGACCCGTCAATAAATATTTTAGTAATAATTTGAGAGATTGCTGTGTAGTGCGTAATTGACTTTTAAAGCCTTATATGGCTTCCCATGGTGCAAGTAAGAAAGTATGGAAATAATATGTTTATTTCTGCCTTGCCTCTAGTTTTAATGAATAGTCACTGGCATTATCAATAGAGTTTGGTATTTGTGGTAGCATTCCTTCCAGTCAAGCAAACACTGGCAAGTCCTTGGAAGAACTAAAGAAAACCCAAATTCACTTAAAAAGGTCCTCTGCACAAATTTCCTATGATGCTAAGGGAAAAAAAAAACTGCAGTGCTGTTTTGGTTCTGAATGTGGAAATAGATCCTCCATTGGGGGACCAGACTATGAGGCCTAAAGCAGAGTGAGCAGAAGGCACAGATTGTATCAGCTCATTCAGAAACTGGCTGTCCATCCAGTGACAGCAGAACTATTAGTAATGAATGATGGCTTTCCTTCTCATTGTATACATTTACTTCAGATCACTAAATGAATAACACATGCTCGAAGTAACAGATGTCACAGATGAAACTAAAATGGGGTCTGAAGAACAGGACTGAATTAAGGTGAAAGAAGGAAGGCTTAAATAATGTTCAGGCAGAGTCAAAGCTGTCACAGGGGAAAAGGTTTGTATGCATGGAATTGGAAGTGTGTTTTAATAAGAGGCATCATGGTGAAATGAAAACTGTTTTACATTTGCAGATACGGGTGCTGTGTTTACATTTGGAAAAACTAAATTTGCTGAAAATATTCCTAGCAAATTCTGGTTTAAAAATGACATACCAATATGTCTTTCATGTGGTGATGAACATACTGCTATTGTGACAGGTTAGTATTACAATCCTAAATGGAGACAGTAATTCTTAGAAAATCCTAAATAGTATAAGTATTATATTTAATAAAAATTGTTGCTACCTAATGTTAGGAACTCTTTACACTTAATAGAATCAGCTCATACATGGAAGGACAAGGTAAACTGCTTCAAAACAGAAAGATACATTTTAAACATCTATTTTTTATTGCCTATATTTGGGTTTTTTTTTGGTCTAAAAAAATGTCATGGATTTGGAATCCAGGGACCTCAAAGGGAGTGATGATCTTATAGCATTGCATTTGACCATATTTTTACTTTTTAAAAAACGACTTAAATGTTACTCTTATGGTATATATAGAGAACAGGCTTTATCATGTGTTAAACATATTGAAAGTGTATAGAAAGTGGTTTTGTATTTGTCAGAGAATCCTTTATAAATTGTTTCAAGAGTCTTTTCAACTTTAAGTTACCTTGATAAATGTAAATGACTTTTCTACACGTGGAACTTGGTTGGAATCTATCTGATTGCAATAAACAATTGCTGACATATAACCTTACAAACTCTTTACACTGAATGGGATGTGCCCATACATGGACAGAAAAGGTCCCCCACTCCTGCTACTGCTTCTTTGGTATTTTTAAAACCGTGTTTTTTGTTTCCTTATGATTCATTCATCTGCTGTTATCTATGTGAAGATTGCTTTAATTTGTTATTTCTTTTGCTTCCCACTAGGAAATAATAAACTTTACATGTTTGGCAGTAACAACTGGGGTCAGTTAGGATTAGGATCAAAGTCCACTATCAGCAAACCAACATGTATCAAAGGTTTGGGGCCTTTTCTTCTTTATATTATTTATATTCTTTTTAAATATTTTCTAGATTGTTAAACAACTTTAGTACTGATTCTTTGACTCTTTAATATCATAAATAAGAGCCGTTAATGTTTTTATTTTATATGATTTACTTAATTATTATTAGCACCTACTCTTCTTCTTTATGTGAAACTCAGAAATACTTTATGGTGGAGTCGAAAAATCTCTTTGACTCGAAGCCCAAGGACCACAAAGGAAGTAATGATCCTCTAGTATTGAATTTGACTTCCAAACAATTGTTTGTTTGGAAAGTGACTTAAATATTGCTGCTATTATATATAAGGGAATCAGGCTTTATGATGTGTTGTAATTTGGAGTTCTGTCTTATCACAGTTATATGAAGTTGTTGGTTATTAAAGTTCTACAGCACAGAGTAAGGAAATGAACTAAACAAAACATCAAGACTAGTGGTTGATGAATAGGAGCATATAATCACAACAGAGCAAAGTATTTGACACCAGTATTGTCTCAAGAGTGTATGGCATATATAATATCACTAGGAAACTTTTGCACTGTCAAATGAAAACTTCTGGGTGTAATTTATGACATTAAGCAAATTTAAAAGGTGGTAGAGAGTCCTGGGGGTGTGGTAAGAACAATGTTCTCTAGCTTCAGGGCCCAAATTTAAATTTCACCTTAAAATTTCAGTGTGATTTTATCATAACCATGCTATTATAGGCATTATTAAGGGGCTTTTAATATTATTATTAGAAAGTATTTAATTGGGCACAAACTACTAAACACTTGGTATTCCCAGTGACCATGACCTTACAAATACCTAATAGAACATTATCACAGCCTGTGAGATCCATAGAAACAGAGACTCTTAGCCAGCTGTGCAGATGCTTTGCCAATTGATTAGGAGATATCTGTAAGTGTTTAGAATATGTAGATGAAGCCTGGTGGTAGTGGTGGTGGCGGTGGTGGCACACACCTTTAATCCCAGCACTCAGAGGCAAAGGCTGGTGGAGTTTGAGGCCAGCCTGGTCTACAGAGTGAGTTCCAGGACAGCCAGGGCTACACAGAGAAACCCTGTCTCAGAAAGCTGTGTGTGTGTGTGTGTGTGTGTGTGTGTGTGTGTGTGTGTGTGTGTGTGAATTTGTAGATGAACAACTTCAACCCATGTGTGTACCTATGATTATTAGTTTTAGGGTTTTTATTGAGTGTCTTAGAAGTTAGTGGTAGGTTAGGTAATAGATAAAGTTGGTGTATTAATTTCCTATAGTTTTTTTTTTTTTAACTAGATGCCTTGGCCCTACCCTTGACCCAAAACCTCACTGTTTACCACACCCCACTGGTTTTTATGATGCATGGTGCACTGTGGGTAAATGTCTGGATTAGGAGTAAGATCATTGATTTGGAGTCACATATACCAGATTTATACTAGATTTTAAATTTCAGTTCCGGGGTTACACATGTTTCAGAGTACATGCTTAGCATGCTAAAAGTCCTGGATTCCATCCCCTGCAGTACAATAAATAAAGAAATCTCAGGTTTCTACCAGTTAATTATCATTTGATCTGGATTATTTTTCATTTTCAAACCCATAAAATATTCTAATTGTCATATTCTCATGTCTAGCTCTTAAGCCTGAGAAAGTGAAGCTTGCTGCCTGTGGGAGGAACCACACCCTAGTTTCAACAGGTACAGTATTCATCCTGTGCAACTTCTAGCTAGCCTTGAGAACTGATGTCTCACGTCAGTAGTATTTGTGGCTTTGTAAAATTACTAGATACGATACTTTGGTGGCAGTTAGAATAGAATAGAGTTTTAACAGTGTAAGTGTTTAGTCATGCATTTGCCTTTGTGAATATACAAGTAGGTGCCGAGTAGCTAAACACTAAGGGCTGTCTTCTCCCTTGGGAGCACGCCTGGAGCTGCTGCCTCCTGTTCCTTGAGGTTCCTTCTTTGCTACAGAGGTTGAGTGGAAGCCACAGGAAATGTTCCTGGTAGGAGTCATCTCAGTTTCAATCAGAATCTAACTAGGCAGTATAGTGTGTCTAGAAGTTGATAAAGTGATTCATACATTTATATAGAAAATCAAAAGAGAGATACAATAGTCAGAACAGTTTTCAGAAAGAACAAAGTTTGGAAGCTAGCAATATTCTGATTCCAGTCCGCATCAGAAAGTTCCAATAATTATGACAATGTAGTATTGACAAAGAGTGGATAAAGTTTAATGAAATAAAAGTGTCGAGAAGCAGGCCAACACATATATCCATAGCTGATTTCTGCTCTCAGGTTCTCTCCTGCTGAACTGTAGCCCCAGCAGCCGACTTCTAACGCAGGTTTGGAGACAGTTCAGTGGAGGAAAGTACATTTTGACCACATGCTGCTGAAGAGTTATCTGTTCTCTCCGCCTTAGTTCTCTGTATCTCTCTCACCTCTGCGCATCCTTTTTGCACTGTTACTGTAGCAGGTATCTGCTATCTCCTGCCATGCCTCAGAAGCAGGGTGACTACAGTGTGTTAGTTAACATTTCTTTTATATGTACAGATAAAGGCGGTGTATATGCCGCTGGAGGAAATAATGAAGGCCAGTTGGGACTTGGTGACACTGATGACAGAGACACTTTTCATCAAATTGGCTTCTTTACACCTAAAGATATCATTAAACAGCTCTCTGCTGGTGCTAATACATCAGCTGCATTAACTGGTAAGGCTTGTTTGTGCTTCTTTCTGGATATATCTTTTAAGGATATACAAACTCAGTAAATGCATGATAGTGTCAGCATTCTGTGTACCTTCAGAAGACTTTAAAAATAGAACTTTAAATCTATATGTATATTTTGAGTGACAGATAAATACCTGTATAGAAAGTGATTGATATAAACTCTCAGCTCTGCTAGCTAGCTATTCTTTTAGCTATTCTTTTGGGTTTTTGTTTTGTTTTGTTTTTTTGAGACAGGGTTTCAATGTGTTGTGTAGCCCTGGCTGTCCTGGAACTCTGTCTGTAACCCAGGCTGGCCTCAAACTCACAGAGATTCACCTGCCTCTGCCTCCTGAGTGCTGGGATTAAAGGCGTGCACCACCACCGCTCGGCCAGATATTCTTAAATGTTACCTTCATTGCATATTCTGAAAGGTACTCTTTCGGCTTTAGCTGAAGTTGCTACCGGAAATAGCGATAGAAATCAGCTGGGATGTATGTTGTTAAAGTGTGGGTTCTAATGGTCATTGCATATCTCTGTCCTCCTCCTCAAAAGTAGATCTGAGAACTTGTATTTAAAAGTTGGAGCCATGATCCATGTGACCTCACTGAAGCTTGCTGCTCTCTTCCAAGCAGAGATTCTCTACACAGCTCGTGTTGTTTTGTCAGCTATATAGTTTACTATTCAATGTCACTCTTTCAGTCTTTATTTTTAGTTTTAATTTTGGCTTATTATTAAACCATCTCAAAGATCAATGTTTTAATTCATGAAAAAAGTTGATGGGTATTGTTGAACTGTTGTTAATCTCTTTAACTTCAAGGTCAGAGGCATGATGATCATAAGTTCATGGCTAACCTAAGCTACACAGTTAAGATGCTATTTCAGACAAAAAATAGAAGTAAACAGGTATTAATAATCCCTGAAATACTCATCCTCCATTTAGCCTAACTGTTCCCAACACTGAAACCCTATCAGAAAAGACATAAATTAATGTGTTTTTAAGATGATGTATGCTAATATGTCTCATTCTCTGAAGCTAGGGAGGTTGTATTTTCAGGTATATGATGATAAAAACAGATTAGTGAGATTCATTGTGTGTTTTAGGGTTTTGTTTTTTGTTTTTTTCTTACTCCTTTAAAGCATTTCCACGGTGTCCCCAGAGCAAGGTTCTTTATTTGGGAACTTGCTCTTTTTAACTGGAGCCATGGAGGTGCTTTGCTTTCTCTCAGTTCAGTGGCAGGAAGGCTACCTGAGGTTGGGAATTGTTTCTGTGTGGAGACATTGAAAGGACACAGAGTGACTAAAGGCAATGGTGTCCTGTGTTTACTATTGAGGTAACTAAAGTGATTTAGCATCCACTCCTTCTCAGCTGCTGTAAATGGCTCGGTACTTCTATGGCATACCATTTTCAGTACTGTTAGAGTTTATAGGGAGGAACATACTAATGTGTTGTATATTACTTTTTTCTCTTGTTTGTTTGTTTGGAGACAGTCTTCCTTTGTAAACCTAGCAGGCCTGGTATGTATTATGTAGCTCAGAGACTGGCTTTATTCACAGCAATCCTCCTGCCACTGGTCCCTGAGCTGTGAGATTAGAGGCATGAGCTGCCACACCTGGCTGCATTGTTCATTTCAAAGTGGCTGGCAGAGGATTGTGAGTGTTCTCAACCCAAGGAGAGGATAAATGTTTAAAATTCTAGGTAAATCACTCTGAGCTAATCATCACATCATATAGATGCATTCTGAAATATCATGTTACAGTCTGTAAATATCTACAGTTATATATCAATAAAGTATAAAATAAGACTAAAAAATGTATAAGCCAGAAGGAAGGCTATCTGTAGGACATGTCATAGCTTGAGAGCCCGGCTAGCTCTTTAAAGACTTTTCTCCCCTTGTGCTTTCTTTATAGAAGATGGAAAACTTTTTATGTGGGGGGACAATTCTGAAGGGCAGATTGGTTTAAAAAATAAAAGTAATGTGTGTATCCCTCATGAAGTGACCGTTGGGAAGCCGATCTCATGGATCTCTTGTGGCTATTACCATTCAGCTTTTGTAACAAGTAAGATGAACATTTGGATTTATTATATTGTCTCTCCTCAATCATTACTGCTGATAAAATGAGTTACATTTCACATGCTTGTTCAGCTACTGAAATAATGTCTGTTTGCAAACTGTAGAAAAGACTGTACTGAAAGTGTAGTCTTTAATATGTTTTAATTTAAAACATTTCTCCATTTCTATATTGACAGTTTATAGATTCACATTTTCTCTGGCAGCGAATACTGGGTCTGTTGTAAAAATTAAATTGCTATTTTAGAAACTTTTCTAAATTTTGGTTCTCAAACTTAGCCTTGTTTGGCATTAAAAGCAAGACTCATCAGCCACTCTCCCTTGGATTCATTTGCTTTCATACTTTGGCCTGCTCTGTTCTTCCTGTCCTGATAATTCTTTTTTATGGTTTCAAATAAATGAGTCACAGAGTATTCCTGTGAGAACCAGGATGAAGAGTAGATGGAGAAGGATGAGTGAGGCCTTAGTCCTTTGGTAAGACTTTTCTCAGTATCTGCAGCCTAAAGTTCCTGGGCCCATTAGTAGTCTTCTCTGCTTGGAGTCTACATCTATGTTGACATCTACATTTACAGCCTTACGAGTAACAATGGAAGGATGATCATGGCTTTCCTTCTAGCTGGCTGTTTCTTAATAACCAGATGCCCAGATGAAATAGTTCAGTGGATTCTCTTAGAACAGCAGTTAATTCAGAGACTCATAAATGGGCAAAGTGCTGAACCTAAGTGATTGTCAAGTGCTCAGCCCTAAACAGGACAACTGTCTGCACCACCTAGGGAACATCTCAGAAATCAGGAGGAAAAATGTAAAAGCTGGAAGATAGGAAGAGGTATTCAAAATGTTGTCTTCTGGACATGATGTGACTGCTGTACACATGATGTCACAGTGCTGTGGTTACCCACACAAGACCTGCAAAAGATGGGGTGCCATCATGGCCTATAATGGTTACAGTGGGAGGGGAAGGGAGTTTTTTCAGTAGAGTGGCCGTTTGTAGGTTGCCAGTGCTCTAGAAAATAACCCTCTACCCGTGCTCATGAAAGACTCCCCAATTAGTAGATGACACAACAAACAGAAGAAATGAGTGCAGGGTGGAGTGGGAGAAAAGGTTTGCTGGGAGGGGCATGCAGTTGTCAAAAGGATACAAATAATAAACGTGTTTAAGAGTGTTTTGTAGAAAATTATGTCGATAAAAGCATTTTGAATTACAAATCTATTCTGTTTACTCTCCTAACAACTGTGATAGAGAGTTGTGCCATCTGTGATTTCATATACCAGCCAGACCCAAGGTGATGCTGCATCTGAGTTAGAGAAGCAGATTCCAAACCCTGGTTGATCTTTGAACTTTATAGACCTGAGTAGTTTCTATCAGCACGTGGCTTTTCTGCGTCCACACACAGGAAGAGGAAGATGGAGCAGCAACTTATAATATATAGGCACTGCTATGCATCCTGACTACTTCTCTAGTCACTGTTTTGTTTCTCTGTATGAAACAGCAACCCCATGATGTGGCTCATTTCCTCCAGTCCCATAGCAACAGTGATTAATTACTAGTGGATTCAGCAAGGAAGTTACAGGATTACAGATATGAACATGAAAGCCTCTGCTTCAAGTAGCTCACAGTCATAGTGTGATAACTAATGCAGAGGAAAGTAGTGTTAGTGTGACAAGGTGGAAATAGTTTATAGTGCCGTCTAACCAAAATGTTATCTTCACAGCTATTCAACGTAGGCATTTCCTACCTAACCAAGCTTTCGAGAGCAGGCATCATTAAACAAAAGCAAACTACCTCAGCCTGGCTGCTCAGACCTATAATTCCAACTACCCAGGAGACTAAGGGAGAAAGAAGGATTCTAAGTTCAAGGCCTGCTACAAGAGTGAGTTCAAGGCCAGCCTGGGTAACTTAATGAAACCCAGTTTCAAAATTTAAAACTTATAAAAAATACGGGGCTTGAGCTCCATGGTCAGGCTCTTGACTAGCATGTTTGAGGCCCTAGTGTGAATCCCTGGTATCACCAACGCACATGTACACACATGCATGCCATAAAGGTATAGAGAATATGTAAGATAGTCCTTGCTGTATTTTCTGGAGAAGCTAAAATGATTTTCTCGTTCTTTATAGTCATGAATTCATTGTCAAGGGTACTAGATTGAAATATCTGAGAGGGGCAAACATCCAGCCTTATTTTCCTACCTTGCAGTGAAAGATACCTTAAGAAAGATGAGGTTTACTTAACTCTTGGCTGAATTTGTATGGAGCATGAGAACATCTGCCAAAGGACCAGCATTCTGTTTACATTTATATCCCCAGCAGTCTTTCTCCTTTTCCTCCGACAGCGGACGGGGAACTGTACACATTTGGAGAGCCTGAGAATGGAAAGTTGGGCCTTCCCAATCAGCTGCTGATCAATCACAGATCACCCCAGCGTGTGCTGGGGATTCCTGAGAAGGTGGTTCAGGTAGCCTGTGGTGGAGGGCACACTGTGGTTCTCACAGGTATGTGTGGGGCCTGCTGTACTCTTCTCTGTATTCAGTAGTAGCTAACACTCTCATGGTGCTTCTTATTGTGACAAGGTAAGAAAGAATACTCGGGGCTGGAGAGAGGGCTCAGTGGTTAAGAGCACTTGCTCTTCTATCCTGAGGACCTGAGTTTGGACTCTAGCACCTGAGTTGGGCAGCTCACCAATTTCTGTGTAATTCCAGCTACAAGAGACCCAACACCCTTTTCTGGTCTTGGTGGGCACTTTCATACAGACACACACACACACACACACACACACACACACACACACACACACACACACACACAAATAATACAAATAAGTCTAAAAAGAAGACTATTTAACATGAGCTATAACTTCTACAGAGAGTTTAAAGTATATAATGTGGGATTATGACACATACATCTGACGCTCTATCTTGAAAAGCTTTCTTATATAACTGAGATAAGGTATCTGCTCCACAGTGTATCCTCTTTCCCTTCCCTTGCTCCTGGAAACCACCATTAGTGTTTATGAGTTTGACTCCTATAGGTTCCTCAGGGAAGCAGACCTTGTATCTCTTTAGGTTATGATCCCTGCCTTTCATTTACATAGCTAATACAGATTTCAGGAAAAACTGAATCTTAATCATTCTCCTAACATACTTGACAATTCCCCAGCCATAAGATGCTTAGTGGCAGCAAATTGTATTCATTATGTATATTTCATATTTATCTAAAAATTAATATCTTTCCTAAAATACTTCCATTTGAAGAAGCTGTCTTCATGCTATTTTCTGATTTTGATATTTTATATTTATAATGTGTAAACTTAAAGATTTCTGTGTGATTTTATAATCTATTATAATAATTAAATAAAAAGCGGTAAAGTTTTAAATTACAGATAAAGAAATTTAAAACCCTCAAAATAATGTCATTTTTGGCTTGTGAATTTCTTATTTGGTATAATATGCCGTGTTATTTTTAAGTTTCTAGTCAATATGTTGAAATATACTCACTATTTTGTAATATAAAAATCAAATAGAAGTCTGCGAATTTGTTCAGCATCGGATTTAATTTAAATAGCATAGTACTAATATAGTTACATAATATATTTTTATTACTGGTTTTTAATATAACGCTCATAAGGGCTGGGGAGATGACTCAATGATCAGCACACTAGCTGCACTTACAGAGTTCCTCGGGACAGTTCCCAGCACCCGCATCGGGCATCTCTAACTGCCTGTAGCTCTGCTTCCGGGGGATCCAATGGCTGGTCTCTGCAAACACTTGCATGCATATGGTGCACCTGCATTCACCTAAGCACTTGTACATATAGATATTAAAAAGAAACATCTAATAAGTCCAGTCATTGCTTAATCTGCAGCAACTCACAATTAGAAATGCTCTAGAGAATTTTAGTAACCATTTCCCCCTGTCTTGTCTGTCAGGCAAGATTGAATGGGGAAATTCAGGAGAAAATGTGGTAAAGGAAAAACAGAGAAAATTAGTACACTTAGAACAGGCAATGTGCTATATGATCTACTAATTAAGAGATGATATGATGTATTCAAATAAGAATCTCTTGCCATTGCCTCAGTATGCATGCATATCCTTGTTACAGGTATAGTTTCTTTAAGAGGTTTTATCTCTAGCTTGTTTATATTTTAAGCATTCTTTTTTTTTTTTTTTAATTTTTCGAGACAGGGTTTCTCTGTGTAGTTTTGCGCCTTTCCTGGAACTCACTTTGTAGACCAGGCTGGCCTCGAACTCACAGAGATCCACCTGCCTCTGCCTCCCGAGTGCTGGGATTAAAGGCGTGCGCCACCACCACCCGGCTTAAGCATTCTTTTTTTAAGATTTATTTTTTTATTTGCTTATTTATACAATGTGCACTGGTGTTTTGCCTATATATACTGTGTGGGAGAGTGTAGGACCCCCTGGAACTGGAGTTACAGACAGTTACTAGCTGCCATGTGGGTGCTGGGAATTGAACCCAGGTCCTCTGGAAGAGCAGCCAATGCTCTTAACCGCTGAGCCACTTCTCCAGCCCTCAAGCATTCCTATTAGAGAGAAAAATGTAAAATATGCAGCAATAGTTAGGTATTCATTGTGGCAGCATTCCCGCTGGGCTACACCTGGCCTGGCTCCAGAGAGTAGCACCAAGCTCTACCCTGTCTTTTATTTAGCGGACACCTTTTGTTTCTCTTGTTGCCCTCTGTGTGAATCTTGTCTGAGAGTCTCCCAAGGATACAAAGGCCTATGCAAACTTGGTTCAGGAATCCTGGAAAACTGTGGTACCTGATGAGTTGAGAAATTTGCACTTGGCATTTTTGGAAGCTTCATTCAGGTTGTTTTGAGCATGGAAATCAACTGGCGAAACGGTAAACATAGAGACAAGTAAAAATGCCCTGGGTGAAGGGTAAGTTCTTCAGTCCTTAGAGGCTGGATCCCCACTGCAGTTGTGAAAGGCTAGATTCATTCTTAAGATGCCTCTGAGTCTTCATGCAATGGACACACGCATGAACCCACACAACCACGCTGAGACAATTCACCAGTACCTTTCATTCTCAGATGAGCTAAGTAGATTCTTTTCAGAAAAAGAATTCTTTACAACTTTATGTTTTTAAATTTGCCTGGATGGAATTTGTATAGGGTTTATTAGCTAGGATTTTAACATCAAGTGATATAAGGAACTTGCCCACTGATTGCAGTTAAGGATAAGAAGATTCGCTTCTGCCCTTAGTGAGGGATTCCTGCTCTCCTTCCTATGAGACTCCACAGAAGACTGTCATGTGACCAGCATGTCTTTCAGTGCATTGACCAGCCAGATTGTTTCCCCAGGAACTCTTTGTCATCAGTCATATATCCTGTTTTGTGCTTCCCAGCTTCCCATCTCTAGATGATGAATGAGCTCAAATTTACTGAATTATTGATGGACCTATGCAGGCACCTAAATCATCCTATAGAGGAAGGCCTCCTGTATTGTAAAGAAAGTTTGCTTGTGAATACATCTAGCATATCTACTGTAATTTTTAATTTTTTTGCAAATAATTTTCTGAGTGTGTGCGTGTGTGTGTGTGTGTGTGTGTATGTGTGTGTGTGTGTGTGGTGTGTGTTCTACAGGGAGAAAATGTGGCCTTGTGCATGCTAGGCAAGTGCTTTACCTCTAGCTCACAAGTTGTGTTTCGTAAAATAGTTTTATTATACTAGTTTTAAAAGGGGATATCTTTGTGGAAATTTTTTAAATTGTGGCAGTGAAAGGAAATAGTTTAATAACATTTGAGATTTTCTGAGCTGATGTAGTATTTACAAATACATGTCAGGGAGTTCTCTGAATTATACATCTTGTAGCCTACCTGATGATTACAATAATTCCTTTTATGGTTATTCATAAAAAACAAAATCAGACCCAGATAGTTATTTTATAATACTTCATTATTCTCTTCTTTCATCATTGAAAATTTGCACTTGATACCAGTATTTTTCTGAACAGCTCTTTCACAGGCAGTTAATGTCCATTGTAAAAGTGTGAATGTCACAATTATCTCAGATGTGATGTACCTCCATGCAACTCTTTTCATGTATGTGTCCGTTTCCTTTCAGAGACAGTTGTGTATGCCTTTGGGCTGGGACAATTTGGACAACTGGGCCTTGGCACTTTTCTTTTTGAAACATCAGAACCCAAAATCATTGAGCGTATTAAGGATCAGAAAATAACTTACATTTCCTGTGGAGAAAATCATACAGCTTTGATGACGGGTATGAGATCATTTTCTGATTTGTGTTTATGGAATTGGATATACCTCATTATAAAATGCATGTTATGTGGAATGAATGTATCTAACTACTTATGGAATTTACTATTCTAAATATAAAGTTATAAGTTAGTTTAAAAGTACGTTAAAGTATAATTCAGATTAAAACAAATGTGGGGACTGGGTATAGCTTAGTGGTAACACAGGTTCTGAGCTTTATGAGGCCTTGAGTTCAATCCCTAGCACCCAAAACAAAAGTGATCCACATTTCGAATCTTAAAGTAGACCTTTGGTGAAGAGGAAGACAGTAAAATCCTTTTGAAATTGTATCGGTTTGAAGACTCTTAACTCTTCTCAAAACACTCCTCAAGCCAGAGAGAAAAAAAATCACACAAGAAAAGCTTATCTTTCTGCCTTACTCAGTATAGAAGAGCTGCCATCACGCTAAGTGAGTTACATTTTAGGATGCTTTGACCACCAGGGGGTGTATCACGACTCACTCCTTCCTTAGCTTTGCAAAGTAGGAGAGGGAGAGGGGGGGGGGGGGGGCCCCCCGCTGCGGTGACCACCAGGGGGCGTTTCAGGACTGTCCTTCCCTTTGGAGAAGGGCAATGTAAAAACACTGAGCAAATACATGTCTCTTTGTTGTCTTCTGTGTTACCCAACCAAAGAGATGTTCTGTTGGCCTTTTTACTTCTCTGTTTCTTAAATTAGATGGTGTTGATAATGTGGGACTCAATAAAATTCTCTCTTGAAATGACTTAGCCATTCACTGTAGGCAACTTATGAATTTGAAAACTTAAATACTTTGTAACAAAAGGACCTATAATTCCTCCGTTTCATCTAAAAACAAAGTAAAACATGAAAAAAGTCAGAAATAATTCTAGTATATTTAAATAATTCAGACTCTCATATTTCTGTTTTTCTTCCTTCTATCCAAAACAGCTCCAAAAAGAGCAGAGCTACTACCACAAATAGTTCCCTCTTTCCCACAGAAGCCTTTAAGAAAAACGACCTGCCATCACATCATCAAGTATTAATGATCTCCTTTGCATAGCATGTAGAATGACAACCAAAAACGTATCATTCTTCATTGTCCCATAGAAGCTGTTGCTATGTGTCCCGTATTGTGGTGTCCTAATAATAGCTTCTCTGCCCACAGTGCCCCTTTTCATCAACCCTGAGCTGTCACTGATGGTGACTATACTTTTATGAGTCATGGGTCTTGCTATAGATTGTTCAGTTAAGTTTGCATAGTCCTTTTTCTACCTGATGGAAAGAGTTATGACACTAATAACTGAATATTAAGTTTGTTTGACTTTTTGTTCCCAGGGAACAAGTGTTACAGATTTTTCTCTCTCTCTAGTACATCTAGTACAATGATATATATTGAGTTTTCTTAAATTCTTGCCACTTCCCTATCAAATAGCTCATAGTTTTAAATGTTCTTCAAGCTTGGAAGTACATTCAAGCAAATGAGATAAGGGTTTACTTTCTCAGGCAACAGAAATCTTGGAAAAGCACACATTAGGAATTTGCTTACTTTTGTAAATTAAAATAGTAACTTACCATCTTACTGAATTCTAGTCTATGACTTCAAGTCAGTCTTCCATCCGGTGTTGGAGATTCTCTTAGTGTGCAACCGCTTTGCCTTCTTCAGGCAGAAATCCCCAGATACAAGCTAGTCATTTCCCAGCTTAAAGCCGTTCACTCTTCAACTATACTAAACTAATTTCACCCTCTGTAGTGGTCTTGCCGTACTGCTTTAGAGTCTGAGCTCTCACAATTCTCCTTATTCGGCTTGCTGATTGCCTTTTGGCCCCTTGCCTGACCTGTTATTATACAGGCTTTCCCTTGTACTGCTGATTCTGCCTAGAGGAAGCTTTCTTTCTTTCTTCTAGCTAAATTCTATCTTTTAGGATTCACGGAAAGCCTTCTCTAATCCCCTGACTAGAGGGAAACTCCCCTCCTCTGTGCCCCGATTGACCTCTGCTCCTGTGGCACTCACTACACACCCTTTAAATGCAGGGTATGAAGGAGGGGCTTGCGAAGACGTGCAAAAGTTAAGTGCAACTGCTGTGTCAACATGTGATGGCACTAGTTAGGAAGCGGCAGGATTGTTCATCATTGTGTGCTGGTCAAGATGGGACCCATACATTGATACAGGGATTGGTCAGAATGCTTGCTTGACTCCTGGCATTGTGTAGGCAGCGTCCCACAGCACAGGAGCCAAATTCATAAAAGGAGCAGCTGTGTTCTCAGTGATACCGTTCTCCACCAGTGACAGATTTGCACCCCTAGGAGAGACAGATGGATCTGGAGACATTTTTGATTTTCACTGCTGCAGAAAGGAGCTATTCTACTGGCATGTAGTGGACAGAGGCTACTGACAGCACTAATTAGACTACAATGCATAGGACAGACACACAAGTCTTTGACCACCGAGACTTAGTGGTCTGTCTGTTCTCAGCTCCACTGCCTACTGTTACATGAAGAACCACAAATACTATACTTTGCATGGGTCAGTAGACCAGAGTGAATTTAATTCAGAATCCTATGAAAAGATTATAATTGCAGTAGAAGTTTAAGGTATTTGTCTATAACTAGATCTGTACAAATGGAACTTAGTAACATCAGTTTTGTTTGCATTTTAGATATCGGCCTCATGTACACTTTTGGAGATGGCCGACATGGAAAATTAGGACTTGGAATGGAGAATTTTACCAATCAGTTCTTTCCTACTTTGTGCTCTAATTTTTTGAGATTTACAGTTCAATTGGTAAGGGTTTCACATTCCCTCTTGCATATTTTCGTATTTCTAGATTTAAAACTTTTGTTATTTCATAAAATACATATGTTTATGTTTGTGTGAGCATTTCATAGATATAGCTAATAATAACTATAACCTGTTTTGTAAGAGGCAAATGTTAGACATCATACTACTCTGAAAATCTCCTTTTCCAGTTTTGCTCCTTCAACCACATTTTTTGTACAAACATTGACTTTTCTGCCTCATATTGGCTTCTCTTAGAAACCAGGACTGTGCCATGCCTGTAAGCTTTGTGTCTCCTGTAGCAAGTGCCCAGTAGAAGGCCTTGCTCACCAGGCTAACAGGCAAATGCCGTATGACTGGGGAAGGTTGGGCACTCCCAAAGCCTGCCCAAGAAGAGACGTGATGATAAGTGAACAGTGTTGCACATGATTTATTGGCGGAACACTCAGATAAGAATTTATCTTCTCAGTACCACATCATGGTCAGGCTTCCTGTTTGATTGGTTCTGGTGTGTTTGCTAGTTAAGAACTGTAGACATGTAAGGGATGGTTACTTGGTGATGCTCATATTGCTTCTCTAAAGATGTGTCTCATACTATGGGACACTTCTCTTACTAATTTGATAACTGGGATAGTTTTAGTTGCCAGCTTGACACAATCTAGAATTACCTGGGGACGGGGAGGGGCCCTCAGTCGGAGACTATCTAGATTAAGTTGGCCGGTGGGCATGCCTGTGAGGAATTTTCTTAATTCAGTTCACTGAAGTCTGAAGAGCCATTCTGAATGTCAGCAGCAGCCTTTCACAGGCTGGGCCTTGGACTGTGTGAAAAGGAGAGAGCAAGCTGAGCATTACCTGCATGCTTTGCTCTCTGCCCCTGGCTGTGGATCTGAAGTGATTACCTCCCTCAAGCTCTGCCGCTAGACTCTTGTTATGATGGGCCTCAGCCTGCACCTGAGAGCTAAAATAAACGCCTGAGTCGCTTTCTTCAGGGTATGTTATCACAGAGAGGGGAAGAGAAGCTAAGATAATAATCATGTAATGGAAGCTTACTGTGTGCAAGATATTGGTCTACGTATTAGGAATATAAATTATGAACAAAAATACCAAGTGCTTGTTCGGTGATCTTTATCGAGAGGAGACATTTAAAGAGGAATATACAAAATTCTAGATGAAATTTTAATAAAGTTAGGTGCAGGGTATGCAACTCTTCTTAGATCACCAGGAAGAGCACTGCAAAGTGGCTAGAATCTGAGTCTGAAAAATAGTATAGGCTCTTTTTTCCAATGGCTTTTATTGATGAGTTAAGACCATTTGTATTTAGGATTATTATTGAGATAGATGTGTTAATTCCTGTCATTAAAAATGAATTAAAACATAATTATATCACTTCCCCTCCATCCTTCCCTTTCCAAGCCCCTCTCTCCCAAATTTGTATCCTCTCTATCCATTTTGACATATACATATAAACAAATAGGTCTGTAAGTATAGCCTGCTGAGTTGTACATATTCTAGAGCCGGCCACTGGTGTTGGATAAACAACAAGAGGGCTCATTTCTGGAGAAGACTAACTCACTCTCTCTCTCAGTGCAGTCCTTGGTATAGGGCTTTTGTCAACATTTTTGTGAAAAGCATTTACTTCTTAAAACTCATTAGCTGTCTTATTTTTCATTCTTTTGTTCAGTGTGCTTGTATTTTCCTCTAAAGACCTGTAAGCCTTTAATTTAGAAAGTGTTCTTGGAAAGGAAAAGGCTTGGAGACATAATCTTTTTTATTTTTTAACAATTATATATATATATATATATATATACACACACACACACACACACACACACACACACACACATACATGTGTATATATGGATATATATATATATAGGTTTGTATTATGATTGCATTCATCTCCTCATTACTCTCTCATATCCTTTCCCTTCCCCCTCTCAATGCTTTCTTTGTTTCCACTAGCACATCTCTTACTCCCATGCCTTTGTTTTGGTTCACTGGATTTAGGATTGCTTCCATGGTAAGGGACTACTTGCTAGAACATGGCCAACGCAGTACTGTCTACACCACCAAAGACAATGTCTTCCTCTCTCTCAGTAACCCTTGACTACCAATAGTTTCTTAGAACAGGGTGGGACTTCGTGGATGCCTCTGCCTTCCATGATGGAATGTTGAGGGGCCCGATCCTGTGCAGATTTTGTGTAGATGTGCATAATGGTCAGAGACTAGGTATTCTTTTGTAATTTCCCTACTAATTAGTCTCTGGATATTTTCTGAAGTTTGTAATGTTGTTTAAAGATCAAAACATAACATTTTCTAAGTTTTAATGAGACACATTTAATGAGATACTGTGACAAGGACATTTTCTCTAGATTATATTAAGTTGAAAGTAAATAATGGAATAGACTGCTTTTAATTTTCCATCAGTATTTAAAGAATATATGTTTAATTCATGTGTATGTATGTGTATAGATAGATAGATTGATCGATAGATAGATAGATAGATAGATAGATAGATAGATAGATAGATGGATAGATAGATGGAAAGAACAGAGAAAAGCCATGAGCCAGTCTTAGAAGTTTGCCTCTAAGTAAATGTCTTGTTGCCGATCTGATAACTGTTAGCCTGTTTGTGTTTGATGTTAACATTGATTCATTTTTCTGTGAATTTATGCTTGCAGATTGCCTGTGGTGGGTGTCATATGCTAGTTTTTGCCACCCCACGACTTGGTGCAATAGATGAATCTGAGTTTGAAGAAGTATATGAGCCTTACCTAAGTACATGTTCTTTGCCCATCAGTGACCTCTCCCCAGGAACTCCACTGAATAGATCTTTATCAGCACGCCTGCGGCGAAGAGAACGGGTACAATGTGGTCTTGTCTGTATGATAGTACTATCTACCACTGCAAAGAAAACAGGAACAATCCTTTTTCTTTTGAAGTCAAGGGAGGGCCTTTCAAGATGAAATTGGTAATAAAATGATAAGAGATAAAGGCTTTTCAACTTTTATAGTAAGTTCAGAGTTAAGATATTAAAAAAATACAAATTGGAAAATTCAAATTACCATGGATAACCTTTGTTTATAGATCATTATCAAATGCACAGCACATTTGTATGGATCTTCCTTACCTCAAAGTGAGTAGTCCCTTGAACTTTTCTTAAGCTGTATGTGGATTGATTATTTGTTACATGCTTTTTTGTAATACTGTGGTAAGAACATTTGTATCCATGTAACACAGCTTTAAGAATGTACAACTGAGTATTAGTGTAATAAGAAATACAGTGTTATATTGTACAGCAGATATGGGACACTTCATCATTTAGCACAATGCTGCCTTTTTGATAAGCCTCCTAATCAGTGGAAGGTTATAAACTATAAACAATGAAACATGAGAAAGAAAGAAATAAGTCCTTTACTTGGAGACAGAGAATGTTTCCTACCAACTGCATTTAGAGACGCTCTGTGCTTCAAAATTGCTATATAAGTTGCACATCTTTAAAAAGAAAATAGTTAAATGCTTAAAAGCTTTGAAAATTATTTTAAGTTCCAAAATGTGTTCCTTTTGAATTGAAAAGGTTTAGTCTGTATTTTATTATGAAAAAAATATATATGGAATATTGAAGACTGTCCCATTAGACTATGGTAATACTTGTTTCTTATGAGCAACTTTTTATTTCTCAGGGTAGACAGATGAAACACAAGTATATTCCCTAACACATGAAAAATAGACTTTAATAGTGACAGTTTAGGGTACCCAAGATACAAAGACAAAAACCCAGAAGGCTTTTGAGTCCTTGGGAATACTTGAGTGCATGTTGTAGAACATTGGCAGACTTCAAGACCTTCTCTTCCATCTTTTCAGTAACTGGGGGGAAGTGTGTGCAGATAATGTATGTAATCACTGACAGTTTGTTTAACCTTATTTTAAAGGAGCGACCACCAGGTTCTGTTGCCATGATGGGAACGCTGCCTCCATTAGAGGGGACTTCTGCCTCCGCATCAGCTCCTTATTTTCCCCCCACTTCAATCCCTTTCCGTTTGTCTATGAATAACTACCCAGAGAAGAGCCCCGCTGAGTCTGTGGGGCCGCTGGACTCAGGTAATGTTGGCCTGCTTTCAAAGGAACCTGGACTTGCACTCCTGTAGTATTCCTGCTTGCCGTAATTTTTTCTCCTGGGCCAGGGACACAGGCCAGTGGTGTGATCATAGTACTTGCTTTATGTGGGTAAGGCCCTGAGACTCATTCCCAGAACTGGAAATAAATCAAACACCTGCTTTTTTCCACTTTGTTATATTGTCTTCTCCCTAGTTAGAGTGTGACATTTCTAATTGGAGCTGAAATTTGTATATATCCTATAGCACTCAGCACAGCAGCAACTCTATGTAATCCACATAGAGCCATTCTAGGCATGTGAATTCCATGACTCAGGGGGATATATAGACTTTATTGTAGGGCTAAGAAAAGCAAGGCTCCAAGAGATGCAGTGACTTTCTTGCAGCCATTCAGCTGATGAATGTAGTAGACAGGGTATAAATGGAAGTTCTGTACTGCAGAATGGAAGTTCTGTACTGCATCACAGTGCTTATGTGCTTCTGCATGGAGTTATGTAGTTCAAGTCATCTAAATTGCATGCTGGGTCTGGTACTTCTAAACTATGGAAACATCTGAATTTTTCAAAGCCTCGGTTTCTTTATCTTTGACATGGGTTTGAGAATACTGAACTAAAGGTCTGGCAAGACGACACAGAAGATAAAGGCCCTTGCTATGTATGACTTGCAACCTGAGTTTACTCTCTGAAACCCACATAAAGGTTAAACGAGAACTGACAGCTGCCTAAAGTTGTCTCATGTGGCACATGTGTACACATACACATGCATACACAATAATAATAATTCAAAATTTTAAAGTAAATGCATAATTAAGAGAGTGATTGTGAGGATTAAGTGAGGTCTAGCATGTAAAATACGTGGTAATGCATTCAGCACCTCTATAAACCAATTTGTAAATATACTTAAAGATCATTAACGCCTCTACCTCATTGCATATTAGCTATAGATTTCATAATTTAAATTACAACCCCAACTCTTTTAGTATTATACACCTCTTAGACTCTGCTTTTTCTTCAGATCATATAAATATTTCTCCTTTAACTATTGTGCACCTCTCCTACATAATTTTATTTGGAAACATTAGTGTAGCTTAGGAGAATCTGTCCATTACTACAAATGTATACTTGAATATAACCTCATGACCAAGAGAGCAGACCCACAGTAGTTTGGGGATTCAAATATGAAATAGAAGCAGGTGAGATGGCTCAGAGGTTAAATGCATTTGCTGTGAAGGCCAAGTGACCGGAGTTCATGCCTGGTTATCACATGAAGGTAGAAGAAGATAACTGACTCCACAACTTGTCTTCTGACTTTCACACACATGCCATATCATGCAGGTACCCATATACAAACACACACACACACACACACACACACACACACACACACACGCACAAATAATGCTGAAAATGAAACCTAAGAGTTGGAGATAAAGCATGGCAGAGATGACTTTTTGTATCTTTGAGGACCCTAGGCAAATGACTGAATCAATAAAGGACCAGGGACCAGGCAAGAGCAGACCGTGGAATAGAAACTATAAGCAGGACATCAGTAATGAGCTGGACATCAGTAATGAGCTAGTTAACATGCACCTTTCATAGGATTCTCTTTGAAATAAGCATGAACGTCAGATGGTGCTATTTAACCTTAAACATAAAAAAGATGTGAAGTTGGGAGGGAGCATGGGAAGAATTAGATGCGTGGGGTCAAGATGATCCTCTTTCATTGTATACATGTTTGAAATTCTCAAAAATAAAAATTTCAAAAAACATTTAAAACTGTTTCAAGTAATAGTAGATTTTGCTGAGCAGCGTGCTCAGAGAAAGATGAGTTTATAGTGTAGGAAAGTTATTCAACACTTTAGGAGCTTTCAGTATGGCGTGATACATAATTTTATAATTTTGTAGCTTGAATAAATAAGAGTTACATTTAAAGTTTAAACTTTTTATGACAAATTTAATTAAAAAATAAAGTATTTAAAAGAGTCAGCCACACAAAGAGACAGAATATACACATTCCAGACAAAGAATAGTAGACACAAAGATTTGGAGGCAATGTATTAGAAAAGGCAATCAGTATGATTAGAGGATTGGGGACATTCAGGTGAATATGTTGTCGGAGAAAGAAACAGTAAATAGGTTAGAAGAGACCTATTTGGATTGAATGTTTGTCTTCAGTCTCATGGTGTTTTTACCTGATGTGTTCCAGTCCAATTGACCTTTCAAGATAGTCACTTCTGGGTTATTGTGGATTGTAAGGAAGTCAGACTGCAGGTTGGAAGGACACTTGTTATCTAGAAGGAAAGGAGGAAGGACTGATATTAGTCCGTAACCATGGACTCAGGAAATTAGTATCTGAGAGAGTGCTGTTTTGAATGCTGAGTGCTGGTCAGAGCCCAAACAAAGCTTCCAGAGTTCCCAATGCATTTGGCATCATGGAGAATACCAGAATTCTTCTAGCTTCATCTTTCAATAATATTTCCTTAAAAGATTCATCTAGATTAGGAGAAAAGCCATGGGCCAAATCTAACTATTGTCCTATTTTAGGAAGTGAGAATTTATGGAAACCCAGCCATCCTGGTTCCTTCTTGTATTGTGAGTGGCTACCTTCATGCTAAAATGTCAGAGATTGGGGCCTGGAGAGAAAGGCAGCCGTTAAGAGCATTTGCTCTCGCAGAGGACCTGAGTCGAGATCCCAGCATCCATGATGGACAGCTTACAACCACCTATAACTCCATCTTTGGGGGATCAGACACCTTTTTCTAGCCTCTACAGGCGTGTGTGTGCGCGCACACACACACACAAATAATAATGAACTCTTTTTTGAAAGTTTCAGATATAAAGGACAGCTGTACAGTTCCTGTGCTTGCTTAACGTCTGAAACTTTCAAAACACAGCCTCAGATGTTAACTTAGGGTCTTGGTATTGATCAAAGTGAGTGATTCAGTTTGACTTCCTGAAGAGCATGGACTGCAGAGTCAGGCAGAACTGAGATGGGAAGTAGGCACCAGAAGAGTCAGTGAAGCTCACCTTTCTCTCATTGTCATAAAGTATATGCTTCTGACACGTGGGAAATCTTCAACATAGGCTCTTTTCTTGTAGCTCTCTGCTTCTTTGCTTTAGTAGTGTTGGTCTTTAGTCTCTTCCTCTCCCACCTATACCGCCGCCTACCTCGCGGAATTCTGGGCATCCGCTCATGTACCGTGCAAATGAAGTCTTTCCTGATTCCCAATGTCCATATGTGACTATTTCTTTACCCAGTATCCTATGTTCTACATCCCTTCTAGATCATGAGTTCATTAAGGGTTAACAGTTACATTATTATTTCTTAGTAAACACACACACATACTACACACCATCTGTCTTAAACCTTAAATAGAGATAATTGAAACACAGAAATAGTTAAGTTTTCTCTTCATATAGCTCATGTGTAAAGAATATAAAATGAACAATTTCCATTCATTTACATTCAGTGACAGTCAATTGAAAGGATTTAAAAGAGAGCAGTGAGTGTATGCTGACATTTTTTTTTCTTTTTTTTTTCTGTTCTCTTTTTTTTTTTTAATTTATTTTGCAATACAATTCAGTTCTACATATCAGCCACGGATTCCCTTGTTCTCCCCACTCCCGTCCCCCTCACCTTCCCCCCAACCCCCGCCCCCCATTCCCATCTCCTCCAGGGCAAAGCCTTCCCCACAGACTGAGGTCAACCTGGTAGACTCAGTCCAGGTAGGTCTAGTCCCCTCCTCCCAGGCCGAGCCAAACAATCCTGCATAGGCCCCAGGTTTCAAACAGCCAACTCATGCAATGAGCACAAGATCTGGTCCCACTGCCTGGATGCCTCCCAAACAGATCAAGCCAATCAACTGTCTCACCCATTCAGAGGGCCTGATCCAGTGGGGACCCCTCAGCCATTGGTTCATAGTTCATGTGTTTCCATTCGTTTGGCTATTTGTCCCTGTGCTTTATCCAACCTTGGTCTCAACAATTCTCGCTCATATAAACCCTCCTCATTCTCGCTAATTGGACTCCCAGAGATCCACCCGGGGCCTAGTCATGGATCTCTGCATCCAGATCCCTCAGTAGTTGGATGAGGTTTCTAGCACAACAATTAGGGTGTTTGGCCATCCCATCACCAGAGTAGGTCAGTTCAGGCTGTCTCTCGACCATTGCCAGTAGTCTGTTGTGTGGGTATCTTTGTGGATTTCTGTGGGCCTCTCTAGCACTTTGCTTCTTCCTATTCTCATGTGGTCTTCATTTACCATGGTCTCCTATTCCTTGTTCTCCCTCTCTGTTGTTGATCCAGCTGGGATCTCCCGCTCCCCCAAGCTCTCTTTCCCTCAACCCTCGCCTTTCATTACCCCCACTCATGTCCAGGCTGTTCATGTAGATCTCATTCCATATCTCTGTCATTGGGCGATCCCTGTGTCTTTCTTGGGGTCTTGTTTTCCAGGTAGCCTCCCTGGTGATGTGAGTAGCAGACAAGTCATCCTTGTTTCATGTCTAGTATCCTGCTATGAGTGAGTACATACCATGTTTGTCTTTCTGAGTCTGGGTTACCTCACTCAGGATGATTTTTTCTAGATCCATCCATTTGTCTGCAAACCTCATGATGCCATTGTTTTTCTCTGCTGAGTAGTATTCCATTGTGTATATGTACCACATTTTGTTTATCCATTCTTCAGTTGAAGGGCATCTGGGTTGTTTCCATGTTCTGGCTATTACAAACAATGCTGATATGAACATAGCTGAACAAGTGCTCTTATGGTGTGGTTGAGCATTTCTTGGGTATATGCCCAAGAGTGGTATAGCTGGATCTTGGGGGAGATTGATTCCCAATTTTCTAAGAAAGCGCCATATTGATTTCCAAAGTGGTTGTACAAGCTTGCATTCCCACCAGCAGTGGAGGAGAGTTCCCCTAGCTCCACATCCTCTCCAGCATAAGGTGTCTTCAGTGTTTTTGATCTTAGCCATTCTGACAGGCGTAAGG